CCCCAAAACCCCAAAACCCCAAAACCCCAAAACCCCAAAACCCCTTAGTAATTTATTTTAATTGTGTTCGTCACCTAAAAATTTTTCTTCATGGCCTCTTCGATTTTAGATACGTTTACACCTTGCTTCTCTGACACTGAGTTCACAACAGATTTAGGAATCTTACCCTTCAGGTCACTTTGAGAAATATACTGAGCGAAGGTTGTTCCTGGAGCATCTTTGTTTGGGATAAGAACCCATCCTCCAATTTTAAGCTCAGCTCTTACATATTTCTTATGAGGAGGACATCCGTCATGGACAGTAGATCTTGAGCTAATAATAATCCTTCCGTCTGGGAACTTTACAGTTATCGCAAGCATGCAGAAATCTCTTCCTGAGACAAACATAACTCCTTTAAATCTGTTGAACACCACTGAGGTATCTAGTGAGTATTCTTCAACTGTGCCACCCTCTACAAATTGGTCATCATACTGCTTCTGGACATTGTCTCTTCCAAGATATTCGGATATTTCCTCTGGAGTGTAGTTGATAATGCCTTCTCCCTTGATTCATTTAAGACCTCCTTCAGCATCCATCGAGAAGACATTGTTAGGCTTTGTTTTTATCTGCTTCCAATCAGGATGATCAGCAAGTTTAAGAAGAATATCTACACTTTCTTTAGCAGTCCTGATAATATCCTGCTCGTGGGCTGGAGCTTTTTGGACATCGAGTTCGAACTTCTCATCAAAAGTGAGCTCTTTGGATGGAGAAGGAGCTGTACCTGTGGAATTAGCTCCTGCGACTTTGACTTCTTCAATGATACTCATTCTCTCTTTGCCCTCTTCTTCATCAACCTCAGTGGCTCCATCGTCTCCCATATCTATCTCTTCAATCTCTCCAATCATGTCCGTAATAGTTAAGGTTGGGGTGCCAGATAGAGTAGAGCCTTCAGTTTTAAGATTTGAGAAGCTCACGTTCAGCTCACTAACAGAATCCTCAATGGTGACGAAATTTCTGAGTGAATTATAGCTGTTTTTGATAGCCTCTTCTCCTACCTTCTCGCTCATCTCAGCAGTGACAGTCGAATAAGCCACTAATTTTAAGAAATATGGTTTTCCTTTAATTTTAGTCATTTCGATCAAAGTCTCTCTAGGGTTCCTTGACCTCGACATTCTTTTGTCAAGGATATAAAAGGTCAAGGCGTTCTTCTTAAACAAATAAGTAAATTCAGACTTCTCGTTAAGAAGATTACTAATGATATCCCATTTCTTTCTGGAATCTTCAGAGGTGAAGGCCTTTGCAACGTCGTCGGGAAGTCCGACAACGTAGGAAATAAGTTTTATCTTATAAGGTTTGAAGCCAATTTGTCCAGATTCTTCATTCTCTTCATCAAATTTCTTCTTTTCCCTGAAAAGGTGGAATCCAGCTGCTCCTACAGCGATAAGAGAGAGGAAGAAGTTCAAAAATCCTGGAAGAATAAAGGATAAAAAGTATGCCCCTGCTACTGTAGCTAAAGCTCCTGGAAATAGGAGCTTCATCAGCGGATGTTCTTTACTGTCTTCGTCCTCTTCTTCTGCTACCCCTAACTTCTTCTTATGGTCTTCTGCCAGCTGTCTTACAGTTTTGGAAGAATAAAATAAAGAAGATTCTGAAGAGAAAGTCAGATTCCAATCTGTTCTGTTTGCATAAGTATCTTGAGCAGTTTCAATTAGAGCTTTATCTGAAGCATCGAGATGAGGAGTAAACTTGCTCACATATCCAGGTATACCACCAGATTTACTGGATTCTCCTCTATCATTAGATCCGTTTACTGGAACTCCTCCTCTGGAACTATTTGCCGTAGGAGCACTTGATCCAGGAGGAGGCAATTGTGATTGCAATGCCTGAGGCTTGGATGGAGAGAAAGTTTGCCCAGGCAAATTTCCCGCATCTCCTCTTCTCATTTCATATGCTATGGCTTTTGCCCATTGGTCAAGTTCTCTGGTAGTATCAAATCAGATCTTGACTTCAATATCGTCAGGATTTGCTGCTGAGCAGATGGCTAGGAAGTCGGCTCCAGATTTCCTCTTGCCTTTCTTCAAAACTTTGCCACCTAATGGGATCACTTTTGGATCTTTAGCATAGCTCTTGCTCTTGGAATAGACAAATCCAACACCTATATTTTAATGACGCAAGGAATTTACCTTCTTCAATATATCCGAATCTCTGAACCCAGAAAAGCTTTCTTCTGACTTGAAAGGGACCGTCTATAAGTCTCTTCGATCTAAACGGTTATCACACTGCATCCCTTAGCCCAACCCTTGGCCCTCTGCTTCTTCCCATGGCCCTTAAAGAATCTTACCTTTTCTCCATATTAATTAAAACTACCTGCAACACAAATTAAATAGAGTGGGGTTTTGGGGTTTTGGGGTTTTGGGGTTTTGGGG